CCACAACGAATAAAAATCTCTGAATAAGTGTTGAACAAAAAAGCTTCAAAATCACAAGACCTTTCATTTGATATCAAGAAAAAGGGGCTGACCCCTCAAATTAGGGGCTCAGAGGGGCCAACAGTCTTTTATCTATAACTCTCTATTGATCAATATTTTGTTATACATTACTGAAGCAAAAGTATTTATCTTAACAATTGGCAACAATATATGATACAATTTTGATCATATGTTACGTAATTAGGGGTCGGAAGGGGCCAGAATGTCAAATCTTTGAGGCTTTATATCTCGAAAAGGGAGAATATCTTGATAAGAAATATTGAACAAAAGATGGTCAGAATAATATTCTAAACAATATGCATACTTTGAATTTTTGTAAAACGGCCCCATTAAGGACTTGTAGGAGTGGTCCCTAAATATTTCTATGTAGCATATCTCCACAATGAATAGAAATCTTTGATAAGTGTTGAACAAAAAAACTTTAAAATCACAAGACCTTTCATTTGATATCAAGAAAAAGAGGCTGACCCCTGAAATTAGGGGCTCAGAGGGGCCAACAGTCTTTTATCTTTTTAACTCTTAAATGATCAATACTTTGTGATACATTATAGAAGCAACGGTATTCATCTAAACAATATGCAACAATATCTGATAGAATTTGGATCATATGTTACGTAATTAAGGGTCACAAAGGGCCAGAATACTAAATATTGAACGATTCATATCTTGAAAATGGGGAATATTTTGATTAGCAATATTGAACAAAAGATGGTCAGAATAATATTCTTAATAATATGCACACTTTGAATTTTTGAAAAATGGCCCCATTAAGGACTTGTAGGAGTGGCCCCTAAATATCTATATAAAGCATATCTCCACAACGACAAAAAGTCTAATTTTTCAACTTTTTTGTTTTTCAATATTTTTCTTTTGGATTTACAGGGTTTATAGAACGTCTTCAAAGATATCTATATGTGTTTTTATTTTTTTCATGCCTGCGTTTAATGCAAAGATATGAACGAACCAAACTTTGTCTTAATGTCGGGGGTTCGAATCCCGCTCGGGGCGTTCCCCAAATTTTTTCTTTGTTTTTGTCTTTTTTCAGTCGCAAATTTCTTTTCACTCTTTTATAACATGTGTGGAAGATTTTGCCGATTTTTAAAAGCTATATTTGGAGATATTTTGTGAAATAACTGGAACAATCACGATCTGTGTTGAGAAACTGCTGTAAGTGAACGTAAACGAAAAAATACATTCTGAAATCTATTTCATGGGATGACGCAGACAATATGGAAAAAGAGAAGTCGGTCGGAAGACCTGCTTGTTGCACCAGCAACAAGAACGCATCTAGTTATTATTATTATTCCTGGGAAAATTTTGTCCTTGAGTAATCTTGTAAACTACACATCCGACTTAGGTAAAATGTTTTTAGGGTCAGTAGACATGTTATGTAGATTTGCCGAACAAAGGTCATTCTGTGCGCACGTGCTTGCAAGAGCGCGTACGTGCAACACGTGAAATGACCGATTTAATTGAAATAGGCGTAACTTTTTCAATTTCTGATGAAATGCTTTGAAACTCATAATGTAAGGATATATTAGTAATATAGACAAGTTGACATGGTCAGAATAGCAAGATCTCACGCGCATGCACGTGCGCTTTGCTCTGATTGGCTGAAACTAAAGTCTCAATATCTTTCTTGTTTTTTGACGAAATCCTTTGAAATTTTGAACATAGCCATGCATTAGGATATCCTACAACATGATATATAGAAAATATCATGAAAACACGGGCATGCACATGCGCTGCAATCTGATTGGCTGAAACTTGAAATAGCTATAACTCCCTTGGTTTTCAACTAAACAGGATGGGATTTGGAACATAGATATATAAAATGGACTTCTACAAGAAGGTATGGTCACCATGCACATGCACACACGTGCGTGTACGTGAGCTGCAATCTGATTGGCTGAAACTTTAAACAGTTATAACTCCCTTGGTTTTCAACCAAACAGGATGGGATTTGGAACATAGATATATATGATGGACTTCTACAAGAAGGTATGGTCACCATGCACATGCATACATGTGCGTGTACGTGCGCTGCAATCTGATTGGCTGAAACTTTAAACAGTTTTAACTCCCTTGGTTTCAACCAAACGGGATGGGATTTAGAACATAGGTAGATTTAATGAACTTCTACAAGAAGGTATGGTCACCATGCTCATATATGCACGTGCGTGCACGTCAAATGGGTAAAATCAAAAATACACTTGAATGAGCGAATTTTTTTTATACTTTTGGATTTAATACTTAAATATTTAGTATATTAAAATATATGGATTGTGTAGACAAGATGATATGGTCATTACGTACATGCATTCACATGCGCACACATGCAATGCTAAAATTTGAATGAGCATGGTACATTTCTGGGTATACGTTGTTAAAGTCTCAAACGCATAGAGTTTGTGTTATTTAATGAAGCTTACAGGGAATATGGCACCAAAAGGGTGTTGGGGAGCGTTTGGGGAACATCTGTAACGGTCCCCGTTACAATTAGCACTAGTTAATAATAGCTTAAAACTACACATGTGGAAATTTTTTTTTCTCTTACATTTTTTTTTATTTAAAAATTACAAACTGCGTTTGTTCTCAGTCAATAGGAAATATATTTTCAACTTTTTGGCTGAAAATGGTATACATGTTAACGTGTTAAAAAAATATGTGATGAAGCAAGAAAATAATTAATTAACATTGAATTATTCAAATTGATTACTAGAAACTGTTTAAGTTTTCTATTGTTTCATGTTTCTAAAATAGATACATGTTTTAAATTTTTTTTAGGTGACCATCTACCTAGTAGTGTGATGGATAACGTTGAAGTTTTTAGGGTTGGGATTGCAAATCCCTGTACTCAAGTTATACAAATCAGCGTAAAAAATTGCAGCACGTACATGGTTTATCGTTTACTCCCTGTAGATTGCTGTCACTCCGCTTATTGCTTTGGTAAGTTTCATACTAGCTTTTAAGGTGTAAAATCTCTCCGATTGAGAGATAACTCTCCGAAAAATAAATCCAAGCAAATCAAAGAAATGTCTTTTCAGAGTTTTATGATAGTGAGAACAATTTTAAAGTCAACTGATTGGAAACGTATCAATGGTTAAAATACTCTAATATTCCTCCTAAAATGTTAGATGCAGAATCTTCCTATAATCAATGAATTATGAGTATATGTTTTCAAATGTAGTAAGCTAGGTATGACAATGAATACATGTACTATTTTTATATATAAATGTACTTGGTATTATTAATTTTTTGTGTGAGATAAGATATTATTGATATTTCAATTTACCATATTAATTTTTTTTCATATAATGATTATACAAAACATTAATTAATAAAATATTAAGAAATTCATCATACTTAAGGACATACGCAACGTATTTACCTGATGATAATTTTTAAAGATATTTTTAATTTAAGATAATAGTGTCAGAAGCTGTCTAAAGAAAAAAAATCATCATGCATTACCAAGGGTTTTTGAAAGACGTCAATCAATAAAAATTCTTGAATTATTCAAAGAAAAATATATCTAAAAATACTAAACAAATATTCTTGATGTTTCTTTTAATCAAAAATATTCAAGAAGAAATGTACAACACAATATACAGACATTATTGTAAAACACACAGTTCCTACAAGAATTGGAACTCTTTAACTACAAGGAAAAAAGACAAAAAAAGTTCAAACTACATTATATAAGTCCTTAAAACTTATTAAAGATATACTTTCGAGGGGTGATCAAAAAGTTCGCGGACTAATTGAATATTTTCCGAAAAGAAATGATATGTGGTTTTACTGTTGAAAATGTTTCAAAGTAGTCCTCTCCTATTTTAATGCGCATCTGCAACCATTCTTCCATTGCGAGGATCATGTGATATACGGGAACACGTGGCATGCTCTTTAGCGTTCTGTCACAGAAGCTTAATTTTTTTTTCGGACTCTTATATTTCTTACCATGCAAGTTATTTTTTGCAACAAAAACAGTCATTTATCAGAAAGGGCCTAATCTCTGCAATAGTTTGGGTGGATAATGAAATCCTTTTGCAGAATTAGCATGGTGACTATGAAAACCCAAGTCCTCTGTCTTTTGAGCGTCGTTTATTTCATGCGGATAAAGTATGGTTGCCTTCACTTTATCATATCTGATAGATATGTTTTAAGTCTAAAGTAAACGATATTTTAGGGATTTGATAATTATATTATTGTTAAAGATATTCATTTATTTTTCTAATTGTAAGTTGACGATCTTTCAAATCAAATTGTTTAACAAAGGACACGTCTCTCTCCCAGTTTGCTTTCACTGGGCAACAGAACAAACATCATTTTTAAACATCTCCCTTCCTTCACTTAAACAATCAATCCAAATAATGACAAAACTTATGAAAAGTCTTCTGTCTTTATAAACAGTGTTCAAAATATTATAAACTTCTATAATGGAATTTCTAAGATATACGTTTAACTTTACAGCCGTTCGTCTTTCGAATACGACTGAGTCAATCATTTCTTGTCTCAAGTGATGTACCTTATGACGTCATTTTCTTATTGTGACGTCACAAACACTGGAGAAAACGTTCCATTAGATATGCTTTTTATAGAAGATATGTATGACTCTATGTGTGCCAAATTTCATTCTGATCTGAATTGCGGTTTTGTAAATATAGAGATATATAGTTCGCGAACTTTTTGATCAGCCCTCGAACTTAATAAAGGTTACTTCAACAAAGATTTATAAAAGTTAACAACTTTGGGTTTTTTTTAGAATCACCTATACGATGTAAGTAATATACATTTTTTAGCATTTAATTTATGATTTTCATATAAAAGTTCATCTTTTTAATTTTAAACGACTTTTGTTTAAATTGATTTAAAGAAAACGGGATAAATATTTCAAAGAATGTATATTTTAACAATTTATGAAAAAAGAAAGGTTTTTTATATACTGTATGTATTTAAGAATATTTTCTTAAACCATCTGTGTTATTCTTTTAGGCAAATCAGATGCAACAATGGATCCTTTAGTTGCAAACTACAACATATCATGGAATTATCAGATTTCGAAGATTTCATATGCTTTGTCACGCTATGACCCCCGTTTAAATTTTATATGTAGATTTACTCCATTAACTGACGAATCATTGCTTTACGAAATTTCATGGTATGTTGATGATACTGAAGTAATAAAAGGACAAACTGTAAATCTTAGTACTATAGAGAATGCCTTGTTGCCTGCCATGGCAATTTTAGAGAATAACAAAACAGCAGGATCAATGGTTAGTATAATAAAATTTCCACTCTCATTTTTCTCTGTGAAAACGAGCCAATCGTAATGTTTCTGATGGCGTTGAAAACTTGTGCTTAAGAAAGAATGGAATGTTTTCTTAGATTCAGTTTGTCGTTGGAATAAAGTCAACTGCAAATGGTTCTTCCTGTGCTACTAATGCAAGTCAACCATTTTTTGCTGGTATTAAAGTAAGATGCCGCTTTGATTTAATTCATAAAAGAAATTACACTTTTATTAAAAATTAAGCAATACAATGATTAAAATGAAATATTTTAATTTAATGTCTTCCGCATGGAAATTACCGTAACCAATGAGCTACATCAAATTTATATGAAGTAAGCTCTGCTTATACAAATCAACTTTTAAGTACTTGTGTGTACAATCAGACTGTTTTAACAAGCTAATTTTACATATGACCAATAACAAGGGAAGTCAAAGTATATTTACGAGTTCCATATTTATTGAAAAAGCAGCTGTAAATGATATCAGATAGCTGAGTTTTAATTTATCTTGGGGAATAGTTATATTTAACATTGAAAAGTTTTTATGTTGTTGATTTCGGTAAAACTTTGTGATTTCTAATGTTCCAAAAGTTCCTTGGAATTTCGTGTAACCAAATCTGATTTACACCACTTCTTGAATATATTGTTTCACAATACTCTTTGCAGTTTATCCTTTACTACTGTTAATATCAGTGATGGGTAGTGAAATAGGCTTGGTAGAACATTGATTAGAATCGGCCATGTATCTTTTTTGTAAGGATTTTTTATGAAGATTCGAAATCAGGACAAGATTATAATATAACATTTAGTTCTCGAAGTTACATGTATAGCCTGTATGGATTTTTCAATAATGTGTGAGTTTAGATTATTGTTAAAATTGCTTATGTTTGCTTTATAGGTTTTAACTCCACAACTTTTTATAGACATAGGCGGAAAGGCCGACATTCTCCTCCAACTAACAATACCTTACGCAGCTGAGAATTTGGTGATTTACGGTCAAGTTTTAGAAACGACTGATCTCCTTGTGAGAGCTTATATTCCCCAGAATTCCTCCCTTTATTGCGTAAATAGCTCTTTCAAATATGATTCAACTGATAGACGCTGTGAAATAAGGATAAAGGGTTATTCCTATAACGAGAGGGATAAATATGAAAGTAATATTTGGAAACAGGTTTACAAAATGACAATTTATGAACAAGGCAATGCATTTAGAAATTTGTTGGAAAGGGGCATTACACTGCCGCTGAAGACCAGCGAAACCCATGGTGAAGGAAGTAAAATATTCAGCAATATACATCTACCAGATATTCAGGTATTTAAGAATTTTATCTATCAATACTTGTACTTGTATTTCCTACCCTTGTCTAAATTAATGCATACTGATTTAAGAATAAAATTTTTAAAAAATTATGCATGTAATGCATTTGATGGATTGATTGCTGAATGGTCACTTTGATAAAATTGACATCTAGTAATATGTCAGTATCCAGTTGCATAGAATATTCCATTGATTATGTACAATGAGAATTTATGACCTCCACACCACCCAAAAAACAATGTTTGCTTCATGAATAAATATTCAAAATTAAAGTAAATTTTTAATATATATCAAATTTATTTGAAAACGAAGAATGTATCTCAATGAAACATATAGAGAAATTAAAACGAACGGTATTCAAGCTCAGATGGCTATAAAATTATACAAAATAGATGCAAAGCAAACACGGACCCAAAAAGGTCAAAGATGGGATCAGGTGCCATTAAGGAGTGAATATGCCCTTCCGACCGGTCATTACCGCTGTGTGGTCCTTGTCATGAACGAGAAATAACGGTAAAATACGTCGATAAGTCATTTTGTATAATGCCCTAACAATTAGTAATTAGAAAAAATAAACAATACCAAGATGTAGCTATATAGTCCGTTTATGAAGGGTAGGGGAAGGGGGTGAGCCAGAAAAAAAATTCAACTTACCTGGTAATAGCTTGACTAGCAAAAATGATAAAGGAATAAATCAGGAAAAATTGTCTCAACTAGCGGCCGCCTGAAAAAATATCTTTTGAATGGCACTAACTGCTTCCGTAAATATGTACTAATTTTCTGTAAAAGGATATCGCTTTTAAAAATGATTTAGGAAACGACTAGATTGTATTTTTTCTTTTACTTCTTAAATTGAGATGTTTATTATATTATTTTAAATATAATCAACATTAAAAAAATATAATATGAAAAGATTTTATCTATTTAGATATAGATTTTAATCTATATCAAATGCAGTGAAGAATGAAAATTTAAATGTTTTTCACAGGTATACACCAATCGATCATATTCAATACAGTCAACGTCGACGACAACAATACCAATCCAAGATTGTGCAACAAAGTCATCTACTCACACTTTTCCAAAAACAACAACTATGACAACACAACTTAATGATTCGATGATAATGACAAATATAATATCAGCAACAAAAATAGCAACGCAAACTATGACGTCAACACCAACAAAAACGGCAACTCAAACATCAGCAACACAAATAACAACGGAAACCATGACGTCAACACTAACGAAAACGGCAACTCAAACATCAGCAACAAACTTTAATATGTTTACAACTAGAACATCATCAAATAATGAATCAGTGAGAACAACAACACAGTCGGCAATGAATTCAACCCTATCAGATTGTAAGCAAAAAACATTCATTTAGTTGATTGTGACATATCTATTGCTTTATAGTGGCTTGGTTACAATGTATAAACTGTGACACCTGACTTGTGAATCAGGCGTCAGGACTAGGTGCAAATAAACTTTTGCATATATGTTGTTGCATATTATTAGCTCTCATGTGTAAATTTCGTCGCATGAACACGCAGCAAATTTACTTGTGTAAGTATTTCGTATTCCTTATTGCTAAAATCTCCATTTAAGCCGCTGCATATGCATTGCATTGAGTTTAAAATATCAGTTGGTAAACATGGCGGCTAGATGTTAAAGTTTTAAAAAATTGGATTTTAAATGGTCATCCTTGCTCTACTTAAACAAAAGTTGAAAATGAATTGAGTTTTGTAAGCCATTTAGGGTAGATCTGTTGGGAATTGGCTGTAAAAGCCAAATCTTTAAAGCATAAGCTTGTTCGCCTTGCTTTGTACTTTCCCCAAATGGCTTTCTCTACGGCCACTCTGGAATCAAGGAGCCATTATTTCCTCAGAGTTGTTTGTTTTGAGTTTGCAAAAACATGTGCGTCGAGCACCCTTCTTGGCAAATCTGTGTTTATGTCTCTATCTGTGGATGCAAACACCTCGCAGAATCAAGGAGTATAATTCCATTCTGTTCAAGTACTCTCCATATGAATGCTCTGGGGCTGTGGTAGGAATATGCATGAATTGCCCCCTCGATAATTTTGCCCTTTACGGCTTTCTTCAACCTCTTTCAGTTTTTAAACCGAGGCAAAGTACTGACAGATAAGTTGATGTAGCAAAGATTTCGACAACTTCGATTAAAGTAAGCATTTAAATTGGAAAGTAGTTATAGTTTTCGTATGAAGTAGGTTCCCTTGGAGTTCATTCCTTTGGCTACCATCTTTGAAAAAAAATCTTTTTGAGCTACCAATTTTTTAACATGAGGGAAACAGAAATATATTCGCAAAGATTATAAGTTACTTAACTTGTAAATTGAAAAAAAAGTGTTGTTAACATATACTCATGAGAAAAACTATTTTCTGTGCCTCATTGTCCAGTATGACAAGTTTAAATTGGTTGAATAAGGATTCTGATCCCACCTCCGAGATATCCAGGGGTCTGTGTTTATTATCATTTCACAAATGTATATTGTTTCAAGACTTTTGAGATCATGCAATCGCTTTCATTATCTTCCCCCTTTTCATTATCCTTTTGGAAAACATATGTAATCTTCAAGCAGACGTTCCATAATGGTCTCCCAACTTAATGTATGCAATCATACATTGTATATTCCATAACACCATAAAGATTTACAGTAAATTGTTTTCCCATGTTTCACTGACGACACTAACTGCAATCTGTAGCTCTCCGAGAAAAAAATATAAATAGATGGGAGAGCTACAGTGCCACCCATTAAAAACTGTATATTTATTGCGCACAAAAAAGTGCACTCGGTTCTCGGTTTTTTCTCCATGTTTTTAAACTGAAATCTCAAAATATTAATTACCGTGTGTTCCTAACATATTCGTTGACTCTTTCCACAACAAAACGTTCCTCATAATTGTCGTTAATAGTTCTCCTGGCCCTGATATTGTAATCATCGAACATTTCGCTTATTTATACTGCCATTTTGGTTTCAAAGATAATTTGGTCCAATATGCTTCGTTCAGATGTCAACAACGAAAGTACTTGATAGAGGAGAGAGGATTTTTTTTAAATCTTCCATTTTATGCAATTAAGGTAAGAATTTGGAAGAATTAATCAACAACCGAGCGCACTTTTTTTTCGGAGAGCTACAGATCTGCAGCTATGAAGACACAAACAGTAGATGTCAATAGCCACTTTTTTAACATCAACTGCATACTCTTCTACGGTCTTTTGGACCAGAGCCAAAACATTTCCCAATTTTTAACAAAATTATAAGATATTTACCTTCATCGTTTCAGTGAAAATTTCCTTGCTAATCTTTGTCCCTAAAGTCATTCAGTTTGGTTCTGTTGTACGTACAATCCTTGGATCGATATTTTTCTGCTTTTTTAAAGGAACATTTAAAAGTTGGTCCTATACTTAAACACTAGAAAATACCTTTTTTTCTATGAAAAAAATCTTATTGTATATATACTATAAATGCACTATATATTTTGAATCAGTCTATCTCCCTATTTTAAATAATTATTATTTTACTTGTGGTACATAAATTCGTTGAACGCATTTTTAACTTTTACTTATGTGTGTAAATTTACACACAAGTAAATTTACACACATAAGCAATTTTTCGTCGTATGAATGGGGTATTATAAGAGTTTGATCTTGAGGGCAAAGACATTTAAAAGAGGTATTTAAGAAAAAAAGCTGAACTGGTATTGGTTAAATTTGGCATTATTATATAATTATTCTGAATTTATGCATCCTATGCATCCTATGCATTTAAAACAATATATCGTTTAGATACCGTTATAACTAACATTTTACTAACTAATCGTTATTAGGTATCATCACTTTAGAACAGAACGTTAAGGTTTTTTGAGGAGTATACATGTAGATAGCGCACTGGAGAAGCATTTCCTTGGCAAAATTGCTTTTGTTTGTAAGGATTTTTTTCGTATAAAGTTTTGGTATAAGAGATAGAAAGAGTAGATCAAATTCCTGTTCGTTGACAGAGATGTTAATTGTTTAAATGACTAATATCTGAATTGCAGGAATGTCAGAATTAGAAGGTGAATCGTGCATTTATGCTACTATTATCAAGATACAGAATTTAAAAAATCTCCAAAAAATACAATACTAGTTATAATGAACAAAAGAGGTGATATTGTTACGTCTCAAGCAGCGTCTGCTGGAGCTATAATTCATTGTTAATTTATGGTTTTTTAATATCTTTTACCACTTTCGATTTAGTAAAAACTAAAAGATCTACAAGTTTGCATATTGTTATTAAATTAGTTTTAAAATGTGATTCTGTAATATGTATGTTTTTCTGAAACACTGAATCAAATTTGACATAGGTTTTTAAACGGAATACTTTTAGGTTTCGGAATCAACAGAAACAACAGTGAAGTCTTAAATTCCAAAGAAAATTGTGACCTACTGGTTACCTCAACATCTGAACAGTTAACAGTCCCAGGCTATGTATTCATTGTGTTGTCTTAGTCTTAGTGGCAATCATTGCTAGGTACTTTTGGTTTGGCGATGGCGTTTGTAAGTTATGTTTACTAATCATTAAAAAGAAAAATTAAAAAGAATATAAAAATTATGTAAATACATAAAGATACAATAAAATAATCCTTCAGAAGCTTTATTTAATTGGATTTTCATTAACAGTCAATTGAAATAAGTTTTGAAAATATTTAGAATTATTTCTTTCTTGTCTATTTTTGTATTCTAAAGAAGACTCAGCAAGTACAAGAAGTCAGAAACCAGAAGTGGCAATTCGGATGTATCCTGTAATAAAATTCAGACTGACACAGATAGCTCTGAGGGAAAACACATAGGCGTTATATATGAAAACAGTGAACAACCACAAGGACAAAATGCAAACGAAAATGAATTTACTTACACAAATTTTACCGAATTGGAGGAGATTATACCAAAAGACAATTCACACATGGATGAAAATTTTTACCAAAAACTGGGTGACGGCGAACCTCGTTTTTACGAACAGCTGGGAGAAAATAAACCTAATTTGTACGAATGTCTTGAAGGAAATGAGACTCGTTTATATGAGCAATTCAGCGGAAAACAAACTTATTGTTTTTCATTAGGTTTTTTTAATATTTTTGTGTGCTTATTATTTTTTTCTTAAGTTTTGTAATTCTTCAAACGGCTCGATGGGTTTCATGAAACTTTCAGGTCTGATAGAACATCCAAAAATTAAAAATAATTTTTTTATTTTGAACACACGTCAACTTAACAGTTCGGTAATTTTCATGATTTTGTCATTTTTAATCAGGGTACACTTCTCTTTTAAATTCTCAAAAACCGTTGAAGTTTGAAATTTTCAGTGAATAAAGCTACCTTTGGAGATTAATTGAAAACATCATTGTTACAGGAATACAAAGCGCACAAATCGCTATGAAAATAGTTTTTAACGAATTTCAAACATTTTGACACCTTTTCAACGATAACTTTTTACCTAAAAATATTTTGTTAAAGCATGTATAACAAAAGAAGTGTATAACTCCAAGATCTTTTAAATGATATCTAAAAATATAAGACTAGCCCCTAAAATTAAGAGCCTAGAGGGGCCAAAAGTTTTTTCTTTGTATCTCAAAAACCATTGAGAATTTGTAATACGTCAAAGAAGCAAGGTTGTTCTTTATGTCAAGCTTAATTACTGAAGTTGTCAAAATGCGTCCAGGACGCCATTTATATAAAGGATAAGTATATTGGAAAACGCATTTTTTTTGCCATTCTTGACAAGTTTTTCAAAATATCTGTCACTGGGGGCATAAAAACATTAATTTTCCGTATAATATATCACTTCCGGTCAAACTGGAAGTAAAGAAACTGTTTATTTTTGCATTAATTAACATAATTTAGCGGATTTATACCATTTTGGGGTGTTAAAAATAATTTATTTAATTTAAAAAATTCCAAGAAAGTTAATTCTGGCCAAAAGACAAACACCTACTCGTTTAAGCTTTGCAATATTTGTTCAAGTTATATTTACTTTGCAAAACTGTATATTTTTTTTGGGGTTCTGGATAAAATAAAAAACTAGGGCTAATTGTACGGGAATTTGTTAATAAATTTATTAACTAAATATAACTCTCTTTTGTGCCATATTCTCTGTTTGCTTTTTTAAATAAGACAAACACAATGCATTTTAGACTTTAACAATATTTAGTATATCAAGTTTATTCAAATTCAGCATTGCACGCATGCGCATTTGAATGCATGTGCGTAATGACTATATCATCTTGTCTACACTATTCGTATATTTTAATATACTAAATATCACAGCATTTAATCCAAAAGTGTTTAAAAATATGTTTAATCCAGTGTATTTGTAATTTTACTCATTTCACGTGCACGCACGGTAAATCATATGCATGATGATAGCATACCGTTTTGTAGAAGAGTTTCCATAATGTCTAAAAATGTTCCGAATCCCATTCATTTTGGTTGCATAATAAGGGAATTATAGCCATTTAAAGTTTCAGCCAATCAGATTGCAGCGCACATGAATGCGCGTGAATTCATGAAAATTATTATATATCATTTTGTAGGACATCCTAAAGCATGCCTATATTTTAAATTTCAAAGCATTTCGTCAAAAAACAAAGATATTGAGAATTTTGTTTCAACCAATCAGAGCAAATATCACGTTCACACGTGCATGCATGTGCATGATGACCATACCCTTTTGTAGGAGTCTGTAATGTTCTATATATGTTCTGAATTTTGTCATCTGTTTGGTTGAAAAACAAGGGAGTTATAGCCGTTTAAAGTTTCAGCCAATCAGAATTGCAGCGCACATGCAAAAAGCGCGTGCTTTCATGACAATTGTTATATATCATATTGTAGGACATCCTAAAGTATGCCTATGTCTTAAATTTCAAAGCATTTCGTAAAAAACAGAAAAGATATTTCATTTTTTCAGCCAATCAGAGCGAAGCGCACGGCATGCGCGTGAAATCTTGCTAATTTGACAGTGTCACATTATCTAAAATTAATATATCATTATATAATGAGTTTAAATCTTTCATTAAAAAATGTAAAAGTTATAGAATATTTTTTATATCAGTCATTTCACTCATATACGCGCACGCACATGGAAGCGTATGCGCGCAAAATGACCTTTTTTAACACCTACACTACACACCTATTAACCCTAAAAAGGTTTTATTTTTGGGTGTAACAGTTTCGATAACACTCGCTCTCATCAAAAGTACCGAGAGAAGAAATAAGAAGAAAAACAATAATAACTAGATTCGATCTGTGTGTGTGTGTTATAACGATTAGTGGGTCTTCATCCGAATCTTGATAAGTATGGGGTAAGATTTTGATTAGAATTTTCAAGATTCTAAAATAATGATAAAGATTGTGAAGAAGAACGATTTTTCCTCCATAATCTGTAAACAAACATTGAACATAAAGACTTAAAAATTCGACTTTTGGCCCTTCACGGCCCCTAATTTAGGGATCAGCCCTTTTTTCGGTATCATCTTTATACCTCTTCATTTTTGAACACTTTTTGTTCAACAACTATTCAGAGATTCTCTTTCATTTTCGAGTTATTTGAAATATAAATATTAAAACCCTTCAACTCCTTAATGGGGAGATTTAGCGAAAAATGAAAGGTTGCATATTATTCAGAACATTATTTTGAACATCTTTTGTTCAATAGACTTATAAAATATTTCCCAATTTTGATATATAAAGCGTCAAAATTGACCATTATTGGCCCCTTGTGGCTAGCTTATTATGCACCATACGAAAACTTCAAATCATAATATATAGTTTAGATTGTTAAGATATACATCATTGCTTCAGTAATGTTTAACAAAATAATTGACTGCTAAAGAGTTATCGTTTAAGAGAGTGGTTATGGCCCCTTTTGAAAACCCAATTTGAGTTCCCAGTCCCTTTTTTCTTGATCTGATTTTAAAGCTCTTTGGATTTTGAACCCTTTTTGTTCAACAACTATTCACAATGATTCTCTTTCGTTTTCGAGTTTTTTGAAAAAGAAATATTTAGGGACCAACTCTTGTAACTCCTTAAAGGGGACGTATATGCGAAAAACTAAAGGTTGCATATTGTTCAGAACATTATTTTGAACATCTTTTGTTCAATATTACTTATCAAAATATTTCTAAAATAGACAATTTGAAAGATATAAAGCGTCAAATTTAATTTAGCATTCTGGCCCAGGCCAGTTGTATGGCCCCTTATTATGCACCATATGACAAATATGCTCAAATTGTAATATATAGTTGTAGATTGTTGAGATAAACATTTTTGCTTCAGTAATTAATAACAAAATATTGACTGTTAAAGAGTTATCAAATAAATACTTTTGGCCCCTCTCGGCCCCTAATGTAGAAATAATTTTTTTGATATCTATTAAAGATCTACCAGTCAGTTTGCACAATTATTGCTCAGTATGTTTTAACAAAATAATTATATTTTAAAAGATATGATGCAAAATGTCTCAAAAATTCAGTCATGATACGTGTCATAGATTTTGACCCCTACCGAGCTTCCATACTAGGCATTTCCGGAAAATTTGAAAACCATTGTTTTTGACAACATGTCCTTTATCTTTGGTAAAAATTTCAGTGTTCTAGCGTTAGCCGTTCAATGTTCTGGTGATGACAAGGAGGTCCCGATTTTAACTAAATTTTGATTAAAGAAAGTCAATAACTGTTCTGTACCGGAAGTGATTTCCAAAAAAATGAGAAAAATGGATCAAGTTTAGTTGACGACACACCTTTCAATGAAAATTTCAAGTTAATCGATAGCCATCTCCGAGAAATCTTCTGCAATTTAAAAATTGTAAGAAGAAAAAGAATAATAATAATAATAATAATAAAAGTGAAAAAGAAACAATAGAAAATAGAGGGTTTTTACCTTGGAGAAGCAGACATAATAATAATAATAATAATAATAAGAAACAGAGTAAAAATAATATGTTCAATGTAACTCCAAAATTCAAACATATAAATGTAAAGAAAAACATTAATTTTTTTTCCAGTTTATGATTTTAGTCCTCCGAACATGAATGTTCAAAATGTGACAGAAACTTCCATGGTGGTAGCATGGAATACAACATACTACAAAGGTGTTGAAGTGTATTTTACCATAACATTTAACGGTACAATGATCAGTAACGGTACTAGTCCTCACTTGATTTTTTAACCTGACAGACGGGGAGGTGCATTCTATTCAATCACATCCCACGTCACAGGGAGAGACACGAGAAAGGATTCTGTAGTCTCAATTTTACAATATGTTAAAAATAGGTAAAGTTACCCTCCATAACTGAAAAAAAATAAAACGATTTTACATTTAAATTTTCACTTTTACAAACTTATTTTCAGCATTTAAAATGTATGAAATTATATTCATATTTATTTTTCTAACAGTTCCCAGGCAACCAACCATTATTGTCCATCCGCCTTATAATGCACCTAATGTAACGATTAGATGGGAACCAATAAATTTGTATTTCAGAGCGTTTTACATATATTTTACGGGAGCCTGGAGTTAACAATGTTACCTCCACAAGTGATACAAACATAACATTCACTGATCTGAAGCATGGAACAATTTTTACTCTTTCACAATTGTTCAAGAAACAGATGAACCATATAGATTTTTTTAGAAACAGCTCTGAATTAACCAAACAATTTCGCACAGAGCCTTCGGGTATTTCACTTTTCCCCTGAACAGTTAAAATGAATATAAAATAGATTTATACTTGTCTGCTTTCAGAAAACAACGATTTCATATATACTTATTGCATTAAAATAAATATGTTTATAATCTTTCTTTAGTCCCAGATCCACCTATATATGTCGGGGCCACTGCTGGACAACGTAATATAACAGTAAATATTACTGACACTGATATGCCTAACGGATATATCATCCAGTATATCTTCCAACTGACTTACAAAGTGTATAGTGACGTGGCAGATCGTCACGGCGTGATCAGAGAGTCTCTACCAAAGAAATACTCAGGCATATATATCCTGGATTCATGGAGACATATTTTTCCAGGTGAGAAACCATAGAATTACTCAATGAGCATCAGTTTAGAAATGTCTAAGAACAAAATAAGAAATCAAGAGTTTTTAAACATTGACTAAAAGTTACCGAAATGCATCATACATACTGTATATAAATAAGAAAAAATGTTCTGTAGCAAATTGAACTTTGAACTTACAAATATAAGAATTCTCAATCAGGAGTTAGTTAAAGCCCATTCAAATTAATGTTTCAATATATTGAAAGTAGGTCAAAATCCAAGGTCTAAGGGTAAAAAATTAGAACGAAAGCGGGGGACCAAAATAGTTATACAATAGCGTATGATGAAACTTTGCAATTGAAATATAATGTCATACTTAAATCCCTAATAGTAAAGTAATAAATTATTAAATATGAAAGTTACATACTAATAGATGTATCCAATATACGGTTTAGTTTGAACGGTTACTTATACTCAAGGTAAATTAAAAATATATATTGGACACTATCAATTAAACTGATGAAATAGAAGAAAAAATATTTAAGAATACTTTAGATAAAATGAAAAGTGAAATTATACCAAAACAAATACATACATAAGAGATAAATTATAAGTAAATTTGTTCTTCCACACATACAAATACTAGTGTATTAAGAGCCATTCTCTGTAATGATTTGAAATTTTATATAGGAGCTGTGGCACGCATAGTCTCAGAATTTCTCCAAACTCTCTATGATAAAAGTCATTGATACCCTAAACTGAAATCAGGCAAAAATTGGTTGGTATGTTTTATAGTTACCATGGCAACATGTCTTAAAGTTCGAAAAATGGCATTTTTTAGCATGTTTAGAGCCCCATAGTTAACATTGCGGCAAAGCAAACAATTGGCAATGACTGTTTCCAAAAGTTGAAGGTCAGATGTCTCAAATGCATGATTAACATGTTTGGTAAATCAACTATTACATACGTTACTATGGTAACAAAGTCTTCAAAAGTAAAAAAAATATTCATTGAATTTTATAAAGTCATACACGTAAAAATAAAAAGCAATTATAGGATGAAATGTTACCAAATAATAGAAAATACAGCCTTGAAACATACCAAGAACAAAATATGATATTTCATTTTGGTTGGCAATGGTTGCCAAGGTTTTTATACCACAGAGAGCCTTCAAAGTAACACACTGTATAATTAAATCTGATCCTATCCTTTAAAAAAAGCACATTTCCTCATAACTAATGATCAATTTTATAAGATGTCGGTGTTCTCCAAGTTTTCCCACTTTAAAAAATTCAGATTAGATTCTTTAAATAGAGCGTTGCTATGGAAATAAGCAGAAAATATACGTTTAAAAACCTGAAAAATATTTCCTTTCCTTGGATACGTACCCTTAAATGTAGATTCCCAAAATTTTTACGATTGATATTTATTAACAGCTAACTTGACTTTTAATTTTGACTATCATCCAATCTCTAAGTGGATGCAAGAAGTTGGCACACAGGGTTTAATATTGATATAAAATTCACAAAATCGAACATTTTCCCTTCTTGGTAACCATAGCAACAGTGTTGTTTTATTCATCAAATTTTATCAATATATGATATTCAACTTCAGTTCTAACAGATAAGTACTATTCAAGCTGAGTCTTTTAATTTGTTTCGTGATTAAATGGCAATGTAATTCTTAATGCAACGAAAAATAATTCACTTTTAAGTACTGGTACTTTGTTTCCATGGTAACATTGCAAAGTAGCAATTATACCGAATTTTTCTTATGGTTTTGGTGTTGCAAGGTCCTAAGGATGCATATTTACCAGTCTTGAATTTTCATGTTTTTCCTCAAGACAGTAGAATTAACACAATCTTAGTTACTGGTTTTGTATGGTTACACTGTGTTACCATGGCAACCATAAAAGTTATTTATAGAATAAAATTGCTTATACTTATATACTTAAAGTCAAACATTTTCATTGTTTTTCTCAAGTCTTTGATTGAGTTTGAGCATGTAACACCTACCATTAGTGAATACGGAGTGTTTTTCAGCATATTTCAGCATTTCAAATGTATTCCAAAAGTACCCTTGGGTACCACTTACTTAGAGATATAATCTAAACAGTATCTTTACAGTATAAGTGACATCAAAGTGTCATGTTTTTGTGAGAGTGGTTTGTTTGCTTTTTCTAGTTTTTATTAAGCCACAGTCAAGATTTAAAGTGGCTGAAAATCTCGATTTTTCAAATTTTTCCGGCTGTTGCCATAGCAACCGAGACACATAGCCACGAAATTTTGTTTGATATTTGTTTCTGGTGTCAAGTACTAAGCGTGGGTGAAGTTTCATCAAAATCGGTGACCATGCGTCGGAACGAAGTTTAAGTGGTTACAGGGAATGGCTATTAATTGCTGTAATGGGGAAATAGGATTTCTGTGATAAAGGAAACTCTAAAAATGGTGTAAGTCAGATGTGAATTCTCAAAATCTCAAGAGGTTTTAGAAGATGTAAAATTATTTATATTTACAGGTATTTTATAATTTCTTTCTATAGTTATAATTAAAACATGCGACTTTTCTGTAATTTATACCTTACGGTGACCAGGCTTTTTGATATAATAGACAAATGCTTCTTCGTTATCTCCATATGTTCGTTATCTGCATATGTTTCATTCAATAAAAGTGGAAATCGAAAACTTTCGTAACCTATGATCCGTGATCAAGAAAATCACCATTTTTATACCAAAAATACTGTAAAGTTGACATTAAATGGATGATGGATTTCTTCAGTAACAACATTTGTGGACAATAGCCCCCCCCCCCCCCCCCCCCCCCCCCCAAAAAAAAAAAAAATTATGATGTACAATAAAACAATGAGTCTTTTACAAATATTTCACATCTTCATGATAAGTATATGTAGCAATATGTCTTTATCACCTGCATACAGGGTTTATATCTCATAGTTGATTCGATACACAAGAGCATGTAAGTTATTGGCAAAGAATAGTATTTTCTGAATAGCATTAGAAACAGATATGGATTGATATTTAATGACAAGTTTTATTAAAGAACTGTGTGTTAACAAGAAAATATAAAGAATTGTTATCCTTCATGGTATATTGTTTCAAATATGTACGCCCTTTTATTTATTGCAAAATCATCACCAAAGTAAAATTTTTGAAAATTAAGTCAAACCGGAAGGACAAGGTCAAGAATTATAGCATGCTTGAAAACATCTTTTTACAGGTAATGCACATGGCAAATATGAAAGCCCTACCTCTTCTCAATTAAAAGTTTTAAGGAAAGATAACATTTTTAAGGAGTAGGGCAAACTTTAAGGACAAAGTCTCGGGTCAAAATAATAGTGTATTGAGAATGGTATCGTCACAGGTAATGCACTTGTGAAATATGAAAGCCGTATCTCTTCTCATTCAAAAGTTATGATCAAGGTTAAAGTTTTTGAAAAGTAGGCCAAACTTCATTGTCAATATCACGGGGTCAAAAACCATAGTTTATTTGCAAAGGTCATGTGAAAGGTTATACACATGTAAAAAAAAAATTTGTGGACAATAGGTCCCCCCCCCCAAAAAAAAAGTTATGATGTACAATAAAAGAATGAGTCTTTTACATATATTTCACATCTTCATGATAAGTATATGTAGCAATATGTCTTTATCACCTGCATACAGGGTTTATATCTCATAGTTGATTCGATACACAAGAGCATGTAAGTTACTGGCAAAGAATAGTATTTTCTGAATAGCATTAGAAACAGGTATGGATTGATATTTAATGACAAGTTTTATTAAAGAACTGTGTGTTAACAAGAAAATATAAAGAATTGTTATCCTTCATGTTATATTGTTTCAAATATGTACGCCCTTTTATTTATTGCAAAATCATCACCAAAGTAAAATTTTTGAAAATTAAGTCAAACCGGAAGGACAAGGTCAAGAATTATAGCATGCTTGAAAACATCTTTTTACAGGTAATGCACATGGCAAATATGAAAGCCCTACCTCTTCTCAATTAAAAGTTTTAAGGAAAGATAACATTTTTAAAGAGTAGGGCAAACATTAAGGACAAAGTCTCGGGTCAAAATAATAGTGTATTAAGAATGGTATCGTCACAGGTAATGCACTTGTGAAATATGAAAGCCGTATCTCTTCTCATTCAAAAGTTATTATCAAGGTTAAAGTTTTTGAAAGTAGGCCAAACTTCATTGTCAATATCACGGGGTCAAAAACCATAGTTTATTTGCAAAGGTCATGTGAAAGGTTATACACATGTAAAAATATGAAAGTCCGATCTCTTTTCATTCAAATGTTATGACCAAGGTTAAATGTTTTGTGATAGACGAATAAACTAACTGGACGGAGCAGCGGACAAAAATGCCAATATTTGGAATAATTGTAGTATGGTTAATTGGACATGGTGAAAGTATTTATGATGCAACTTCTGACATTTTAATTTAAAAGGGCGTCATCTAAGTTGTTCCAACTCATTTAATATGCCGGTTTTTTAAAGTAAATTAAAGAAAGGCAATTTCAAAAATAAGCAAATTAATTCATTTGTTACAACAATAAAGGGCACTTCTTGAAGCACGTATCAGTTATAAAACATGTAAAATTTATAGAACACCAATGACCTTTAAATTTTTTTCCAGTAACCTTTAATCTCTTCCATCGATTGGGAAAGTTGTTTATCTTTTATCCAACAGACACTGATATTTTTAAAAAATATAGTTCATCATTTACAGTATTATATAATTATTTTTACCAATTTTAAATGTATACTTTAATTCTTTCCTGTGTTTTCTGTTGAAGGTGCCGTGTATACAATATCTGTTTTTACCGTAAATGATCGTTATAAAAGTTCTACAAGTACCGATATTGCTGGAATCGAAACGTTTCCGGACGGTAAATGAAATTTTCTTAAATTTCATATCAGTTATTAGTGATATGGTCATATGTGAGCAACTATATGCTTCATATTATGAAAGCTGATGTATCAAACATAAAAAAAAAATCCTGATTGAATACCATCTCATTGTACTGCAATTGCAGCTCAGAAAAGAAGGAATCTTCAATTATCGTCATGCCTTCATTTATCTTACAGCTATATATTTCAGAGACAGTGTGCATAAATTGTGAAAGAAAACTTATGTTCTTTTCTAAATTGACCTATCTCTCATATTCAAAATACTAAGAAAAATAAAAATACTTACATGCCTTAAATTTATTATTATCTCAATTGTCGTGACTCTGGGAGTATTACAAAATATTTAATCCAGGTTTTTTATTGGAAATTTATTGTATTTTTTTAGTACCAGGAGAAATTAATCGGAATGGAAATGAAGTATCTAATCTGACCACAACTAGTGGTTCAATTCGCTGGGGTAGACCTGTCATGCCAAACGGGGTTATGGTCGCATATAGAGCTATACTGAAAGAGGGTCCCGATGTTACGTGTCGGATTTACCAGTTTTGTATTGCCGTCTGTAATAATGTGAGTAAATTTCACAATCTTATGGAAGTAGTCAGCCATCTACTGATTCCTTTAATGTTTTTGGAATAGAGGTTTTAAATCGCCAAAATATCAGGAAGCGTTGGTTCAGTTTGACATGATTTAATCTGGATTCGTTTTACTCATTCTGTTGATTTTTTTAAAAATATAAATTAAAAGTTTTTGTTTTTTGTTTTTTTAGATCACTTTGAATGTTAAGTATTTACGTGTGAATTTTTAATTGCAGGACTTTGTTCATTCCTTTGTACAACTATGTTTACACAGTTATTTAGGCGTCGATACCTTTTCCTGAATTTTAGAAACAAAATACTATCTTTTATTCTTAAAAAAATTACCGTTAGCAATATGTCAGATGGTAATTTCTATGGTGTCAGATTTTAACAATATTTAAATAATATGAAAAAATAATTAAAATCTTTAAATTTAAACATTTTTTTTCTCCTAAATTAAAACCTATTCCCATTGATGATGTCAATATGTTTCTCTGGATATTAAAATATATTGAGATGTTGAATGATGTTCAGGATCGATACTTTTTCAAAGTACTAAAATACGCAAACGCCCCTTTTCATTCTTTTCACATAGTCTCTACGTGAATTTATGCCTGGATTTTATCTAATATTTTCTGACAATTTATCGATTAATGTCTGTTAATCTGCATATATTTTCCAAAGTAGTTTTCCAGTATTCTCAGATGGTGTAGTATCATAGTATTTCTAGTATTTTCTAGCATTTCAATGTCATGAAAAGAAAACAACAATTCGATGATTACATGTAAATTAGAGGTGAAAACACACACACACAAAAACAAATTAATATGATATATGCTGCAAAATTGTATAAAAGCATGAACATTAGTACTTCAGCTTTAGTATCAAGTTTTCGTACTCTTACACCGCCGAAATATGGCTGAAATATTGCCGAGTCGACGTAAAACAGCAAAAATCAATCAATCTTACTCATACAATGCGTTGAGACCAGCATGCACTCGAAATATGCATAAAAATTTAAGTGGGTTGTGATATTAGTGTAAGCTATCTTTTACACTTTATATAATTATTCTGAGGATAAATTCCTAAATCTGATTATACACAAAAAAGAACAGTTACGCTCCAAATCATCATATACTAACTCCTCACATATTGGTTAAATGTTATAGCTTATTTATTTCAGACACTACTGGGCCCTCACAATGACTCCTGCCATATACAGAATGACACGAGTCTCGAGGAAAACCAAAGGGAAATGTCTTTAGATATAAATAATCTCAGACTTGGAACCACGTACACAATCCAAGTGATAGGATATACCACAGTTGGACCTGGAAAAAAAGTTGAAATATCGTTAAAAACCCTAAGTATTGGTAAGTTGATAAATATCTAAGCTTTGTTTCTCAGTTATAATGATTCAAAAGTACTTCAATTTTAAAGAATAGATGATTCAGCTACTTTTTACTGAAAATAAAGAGGGTCTGGGGAAATGCAATACAAACATTACAGAATAAAAGGAACATCACTTCTTTAACAAACAAAATTTCTTGTTCCATTATAAAAATAAAAAAAAAAACATATAAATACAACAAAAATTGATAACGAAAATATGTTACATGGAACAGTATTCAATATTTGACTGTTTCGTAATAAGTGCAAAATGTTGAAAACAAGGAAGAACAGAAACTTAACAAAAAATCAAGCAAACGGTCAGGATTATGTTGAAATTATCTTTGAATTCAAACACTTTATGTTCCTTTGTTCTGCCAAAATGGCTGAGTATGTTTTTGTAAAAAGCAGGTAAAAACTAATAACATCATGTAGAAGTGAAATATGTCATTTATTAAAGTAAATAACGAAAGAAGTAAAATGCAGTCTACAAAATGGGGGTCAGAAATAGGGGACTCAAACATGGTATTACACATCGTCGACAAAATATTGCAAAATCTGACACCCAGCACCATAATGACATTGTAACATGATGTACATAGGAAAAAAGCGGAGTCAACAAGACAAGTATACAAATTCAAACCCTGTAATCTTTCACAAGATACAGAATTCATGTATTTCAAGTTGACCTCCTTATAAACAACATAAATTAAACAAAAGGGGGGTAAAACAAAATAACAAACAGTCACAATCCAATGGATCAGATTGGAACCACCTACAAACACTGCTTGGATCATGTAGAAGCTTGCATTTAAATTTATTTAGGTTTTGGGTGAATTATAGGTATTGTTGTAAATGCAAAAAATAGATCTTTTTTCTTCCATTTCCTATATACAAATTAATCAAATTATTTAAGGAATCACTATATAGTTTGTTGGGTATGTTATTTGGAAAAATGGGATAATTTGCATTATGGGCGAATCAACTCACCTAACTTTCCAAGATTTATTACAGAGAAAACAGATAGAAATGGATAATTATATAATTTGTAAAAATGCATATATCTTATAGTACCGAATGCAATAGAAGATGGCTCCATTGCTGCTACTTATTCTCCTGGTAACAGGGTGTTAAATGTCACCTGGAGTCCACCTTCCTTCCCTGGAGAGGATCTGGAATATACGTTAGTCCTTAGAGATGCAATCAGATCTCAAATACTCGTCACTCAGTCAAACCTGAAAGGTAATATTCATTAATTGATTGTATCATACCAATTGTTATGTATGAGCTTTTGTAATTAATTTGAATACGGAATCCTTCTAAGGACACGATCCAAGAGGAATTTTAAGGGGTCTTTTTTTTACCTGTTGAGGTATTTGTATTGTAAGTAATGTTTTCTGTACTTTGTCCATTAATGACCTGATTTTTAAAATAAATGTATGTTAAACTCATTTATGACGAGACTTTTCTTAAATGAATGTTGTCAACTTAATCTAAATGTTTAATACATCTAGATCCACAATATCGGAGAAATTACCAACTTCACAACTTCTACAACTACACTGTAACAGTCACACCAAGCACTTCTGCGGGAGCAGCAAGCATCAGCCGACCATTTTCCTTCACAACACGTCCAAGTGGAAGTAAGCAAGGCATGGTGTCTTAAAACACACAATTTAAATATTTATAAGATGTTCTCGTTATTTGCTATTCATTTATCTGTTTACATAGCTGAATTGCAAAAAGAATCTAACACGAAATCACAACATTTTTGAAATAACGTTAAACGTACAAAACTTATACATGTGTACATAAACAAAATCAAGGCATAAACATTTTTTGGCCTTTATTATCTTGTACTACATCTACAGATTCTAAATAACGTTTATTTTTAGGACTTGGTAGACCGCAGAATCTGAAGATAAAGATTTTGCGTTGTGACAGTGTTGAAATTGCTTGGGAAGAAGCAAATGTAGAGGATAGAAATGGCCCGATTACAGGATATGAATTTCAAACTACTTTGGGTGTAAGTTTCAGTTGAATCATACCAATCGACAGTTATTTCTTTTTTTATTATATTATCTTCCAATTTAGAACCACATAATATGATTTCATGGAAGTGTTCTGGACATATTTCTTGTTTTACTTGAGTGAATTACATTATTCACCTGTAAAAAGGTTTCATATTACTAATATAAAGAATGTGTAAAAAAAAAAAAAAAAATAACACCTTTTTTTCTAAGCGAATTTTAATAGTTTACTTAGTAAGATAAACAAAGTGGTCACTTGTACATTATGAAATAAAATTCATTTCAGACACAAAAATGGACAGCCACTGTATTAATATTAGTGCCTAATCCAAACTTTTGGTCCATTTCTAATAGAGAATTTTCGTGTCCGTTGAAGGTTCAGGAAAAATCTCGATTTACTGTAACGGTAAGTTTCTATGGACTTCATAAACTGTTCTACATGTAAGGGTTTAAAATAAGTATGTTTATAAAATATTTAGGAGATAATTATGTCCATAGAACTACTATACAGAAATTCTTAAGTAATCGTGAATTTTTATTCATATTTAACACTGATTATACATTCACTGCATGGGTACATTTTCATTAGATATTTGCTGTGAGCGACATAATTAATCAAAAAGGTGTAGAATATTCACAAGTATTCAGCACAGAGGATTGCGGTAAGTACACTTTCAAAATAATGATATGAAAGGTTTATATGCCTATTGAAACAAAAAATGCCATGTCTAAATATATAGGATTAAATTTGGTATATCAATAATTACTTTTTCTATGTTCTTCAGAGTATTTCGTTATAAATAATAAGTCAATGCATGGGTTCTGTGCCTTTTGACAGTCAACAAAACAAGAGAAAGTCTTTGTATAAAAACATATTATATATTTTTAACTTCCTGATTACCCAGGGTAGGTGTAAATATACATGTAGAAGGTGCATCACTCTGGAATCGAAGATGCAAATTAAACCATATGGAAATAGAGGGGTGGTAGAAGACATTGTTGAGATAAACAATACATAGGATTAGACTCCGTTAACTGGAGAAAGTGCACACTTTTACAATGAAATATACTCACTTCTTATTTTAAAGGTTTGATAAACACCACTTCAGGGCCATTATCTACGTAGTCTAATATTGTAAGTCTGGTGAATCAGTCAAATACTAACACCTTCGGCGAGTCTTTATGTTTATATACACAAAGACCTATATATACTTGTCAAAATTTCTAAGTCCCCACTTTCATTTTTTCTAAAAGTTCAAAATCTTAATATCAATTTACTAGTTGCTTATAATTTTGCCTTTAATTTGCAATACTTATCTGTTAAGGCCAAAACATTTGTAATCGAATGTGTAATTATTCGTTTTTTTTTTGTTTTTTTTTTGTTTTTTTTTTTTTGTTTTTTTTTGTTTTGTTTTGTTTTGTTTTGTTTTGTTTTTTTTTTGTTAAAAAGCATGAGGTTCGAGTTCCATGTGTTTTTCGGGTGTAATCTTCATATTTTTTTATTTCTATGTGTTCTCCATCTTTAATTGATAACGAAAAACAGAAAAAAGTTTGATTAAAATGCGGTGTATGTCCACACAACAATGTGAAAGTGAAGTTGAAATGGCCCAAGCTGGTCGTAGTTAACGAGAGTTCTGTTTCCTTTCATTGTATGACTTTATTTTACTTAAAACCTTTCTTATTACCGTCCGAAAAACCTACAAAGCATACCTGAATTCCTTTTAGTCATTGGGAATCGCTAGATTTTCAACAAACACAACAAAATCATCCTAGACTTTATCCAGAAAAAAAGTGCCCTCACCTCAATGTCAAACTGGAGGAATGGGGGATACATGTAATGAGACATTACGTAACTTTTGTCAGCAAGGCACAGGCACTTTCGGTAACCCCCCTTGTCATCCTGATCTCAACCCTAACTTACATGGTTGAAGAAGATAGACCGCAGTGTGAGACAGCTTTTCCAGCAGCAGAATCTTTTGGAACTAGAGGACAACCTAGTCTCCACACGGAAACACATTCAATAAAAGAACTTTTCTTAAATAGTGTTAACTCTCTGAGGAACGGTTGTCTTGCTGTGAATTCGTTTGAATGGAGGATAATGCAGTATTTAACATTGTGAATTTTTAATTCTAGGGTGCCTTAACGTTTCTGCATATTGCGTTTATGTGCTTCAATGAAATAAATTAAGTGCGAAAAATTGTTTTGCTACTTTTTTATCCTGTATACTTCTTAAATTATACTGTTAAAATAATTCATTATAAGAGCAGTGTAAAGCAAAAACTTGCCTGGGGACTTAGAAATTTTGACTAGTATAGGTAGATATTCAATCAGCGAGCGGATAATAAACGAAGTATAACGCGTGAGAAACTTCAAGCCGCCAAAGTTATGAAACATGGAGGGAAATCTAGGCACAATACAACTGAAAATATGGATTTTGGATAAAATATCGCTAAAGCCTCTGATAAGCACAGGTAAGGGCATTATCCTGTTATTTGCTCCGCGGAGTAGGTAATAGGATAATGCTAAAAATGTTATTTTTTTCTTTGTATTTCATATTTGCCTGCAAACAATGTAGTAGTTTTTAGAAATTGGCCTTTATTCCGTAGTCATTCTTCTTTTTATAAATTCTAAAAGCTGGATTACATGTACATTACGTTTTTTTTTCTTTCGTATTTTATATCTACCGGTTGTGTCATCGTCATAATGTATACATTGTGTTAAGGTATTCACTCGTGAAATTTGTCAAAATCAAACGATTTTTAGAGAAGTATATTTTAGATAAGTACTCATAGTATGATTATAAATCGCAGAAAAAAAACGCGGGTCAGTGTGCATCTTACTGAGCTACGGAACAATTAAATTGACCTTTTTGCACTTAAATTTTAACTCTTTGATTAATTACTTAACCTTTATCATATTTTATCAGATGTAACCATAGCAATAAATATTATCTTACTTTATGTAAAATAGTTTGAATAATATTTATCATTGAACAAATCTTGCAAATTAATTCGCGAAAAATTATTGTTTGACCTTTTTGCACTGAAAAAGTAACATATTTGGGGTATTAAAAATGTATATAGGCATTTAAGTATTTTCTTATATCAAATGCTATTCATTTACCATAAGATTTTCCTTTTTTATCGTAAAATTCCTGTAGTATTCGTAGTAACCCATAATACATTTCTCATTCAGCTGATTGGACAGTTAAAATCATGCTGGCGCCTCATTTGCTAATCTGACGCCAAAAAATATAGTTCCAGTTCCCATGTAAAAATATTTGTCCAAAAGAAATTTTAATTTATGACTGCAGAAAATTGTAATATAGAGAATACTTATTTAAGTTTGAATGAATGTAAGAGAGATCGAATGAAGTGCATTTCTACAGATATTATAGGTTGGTAAAAACTGAAACGCAACATAACTTTTCTGTTTATCATGTCTCCACGTGCTAGTCACTTCCTAGCCACATTTCCGTGAATAATTTACCCTATCTCGCTGTACTCCGCTAACTCTCGTCAGAACCACTGTCAGAGCTACTCTGAACTCATCGGGTTTTATAATTTGAAGAACACCGAAAAATAAAAGGTTCCGAACACATTAGTAGGGGTGTTTAATTTACCTACCAACTATATATTTCAGAAACAATGTGTATAAATTGTGAAATAAAGATTAAGTTCTCTTCTTCTTTTCTAATCTGACCTATCTCTGATATTCAAAATACTTACTAATTATTTAAAAGTAAATTTAAAAAAAAATGCCAACACGCCTTGAATATATTATTTAACTCGATTACACTGACTCTAAAAGGTTTAAAAAATATCAAATCCAGATTTTTTTTATTTGAAATTTATTGTATGTTTTTAGTACCAGGAGAAGTTAATCGGATTCAAAATGAAGTATATAACCAGACCACGTCTAGCGGTTCAATTCGTTGGGGTAGACCTGTCATGCCAAACGGGGTAATGGTTGCATATAGAGCAAAACTGAAAGAGGGTCCCGATGTTACGTGTCGGATTTACCAGTTTTGTATTGTCATCTGTAATATTGTGAGTAGATTTTAAAAACTGATTCCTCTAATGTTTTTGCAAAAGAGGTTTTAAATCGCCAAAATGTCAGAAAGCGCTGGTTTAGTTTCACATTATTATACCCCCGCTTGAAAAGTCGGAGGGTATACTGTAATCGGTACGTCCGTCCGTCTATACTTCCGTCTAGCTGTCCGTCCGTCCATCTGTCTGTTACGCTTTGGGGTATCCATCTCTTATCCGCAACTCCTCTTATACCACTGAGTGAAATTTAATACAACTTTCACAGAATCTTTATTACATATTGCCATTGTGCACCTCCTATTTTATTTTTTTTATCCGACATATATCTTGCCATTGTGCACCTCCAATTATATTTTTTTTATCCGACGTATATCTTGGGTTTCCCGGCCACAGCAAACATGGACTTTGCCATTTTAATCATATGGGAGGCGGGGGTACTATTAAGGGATCTAGCTCATTGCTCATAGTACCTCAGCTACCTCTAGTTTAATCTGGGTTCATTTAACTAATACTTATACGCTGTTTATTTTTTTCTTTTTTTTAGATCACTTTAAATGTAATATATCTATGTATGAATTTTCAATTAAAGTCCGTCGGATGGGACGTTAAATGGTGCACCGTGTCAAGGATAACAATCCCTTGGCACGTTAAAGATCGTTTCTCTGG